CAATCGAAACCACTATGCCATGATCAAGAGAAGATTGCGTTGCTTAAATTTAAGCAAAGCTTTCTTCTTGATTGCTCTGCATCACCTTCCACCACAGTTGAATCATGGCAAAATGAATCAGATTATAATGTGTCAAATAATGCAACTGAAAGTAGGGACTGTTGTAGGTGGGATGGTGTCAAGTGTGACAAGGAGACGGGTCATGTGATTGGCCTCGACCTTAGTAGCAGCTGCCTTTACGGGACCTTCCCTCACAACAGCACCCTCTTTAGCCTTAATCATCTCCGAGTGCTCAATCTTTCATATAACAACTTCAAATATTCTCAAATCCCTTCTGACATTGGTCGTCTATACAAGCTCACACATCTCGATCTCTCATTTTCAGCTTTCAGTGGTCAAATTCCATCCGAAATTTCAACACTGTCCAATCTCTCTGTTCTTGATCTATCCGGTAGTGGAGATCCTTCAGGTGTCAATCAAAATTTTAATTTGAAACTTAGTGATTTGAGTCTAGAGAAGTTGGTTTATGAATTATCTTATCTAACCGTACTTAGCCTATCACAGGTTGATTTATCATCTACCGTGCCCCTACTCTTAAGCAACCGAACTTCTTTAAAAGCTATCTCCCTCAATGACTGCAATCTATTTGGTGATTTCCCACCAAGTATATTCCAACTACCAAATTTACAATTTGTTTCAGTGTACATGAATCTCGACTTAAGAGGTTATCTCCCTGAATTTCATTCGAGTAGCCGTCTTAATTATTTATCTGTTGCTGAAACAAAATTTTCAGGAGAGTTGCCAGCTTCTCTTGGAAATCTTGGTTCTTTGACTACTATTCTGGATCTCGAAGAATGCAAATTTTCTGGACAAATTCCATCTTCAATAGGTAACTTGACAAACTTCACTAATATGAATCTCGAAAGCAATAATTTTAGTGGTCCTCTCCCTAACTCTATCATGAACCAAACTCGCCTTTATTCTCTGGGTCTTTCAAACATGATGAATATTGACTCTGAAGTATTGAAATCTTGGTTGCCTAAAATAAACTCACTCGGTTCCTTAGGCCTTGGCCTTGTGAAGATTTAGGCAACGATATCCTGCCAGCATTGTCAAACCTTACTAGGCTCCAAGTCTTAGATCTTAGTCAAAACAAATTAACAGGCCAACTGCCAAAATGGTTAATAAATATGACTCAATTAATAGGCTTAGAGCTATCTGGTAATCAGTTGCAAGGTCCAATCCCACCCTGGTTTTCGATAACTTATTAACCTTATCTCATTAAAATTGTCTTTGAGTGGCTCGGTTTCCATGTTTGATACATGTTTGGATCTCCCACAATTGCGTCAATTACATATGTCTGTTGTTAGCTTAACATTCCCACCAAGTCTAAGCACCAATTCATCTCTTTTGAAGTTACATGTTTTGGTTCTTGAATCACGTAACTTGACTAAGTTCCCTGAATTCTTGCGTTATCAAGACAAGCTACAAATACTATCCCTCGCAGAGAACAGCATCACTGGAGCTCTTCCACAATGGTTTGTGAACGTAACTAGAAATAGTCTCTTTTTATTAGACATTTCTAACAATCTTCTAACAAAATTTGAACATCCTCAAGTTTTTTCTGCCATGGAATAACTTGAAAAGCTTAAGTCTCAATAATAACAAACTGCAAGGGACACTTCCGCCCCCCCCCCCTCCCCCCCCACCCCACACCCGAGTTCCATGCAAGTTTATAAAGTGTCAAATAATCGAATCAATGGAGTTATCCCTACACAAATTTGCCATGTGCCTTCTTTGATCTATCTTGATGTATCCAAAAACAATCTTACAGGCCAGATTCCAAGGTGCATTGGTCATCAACTTAGTGGTTCTTTGCAAGTTCTGAATGTAAAAGGCAATAAATTTAGTGGCGTCATTCCTCAAACGTTCTCAAGATCATGTAAACTTAACATGATTAATTTAAGCCAAAATCAATTTAAGGGCAAGCTTCCAAAGTCAACTGTATGTTTCTCGAGGTACTTGATGTCGGAAGTAATCATATTAACGACACTTTTCCATCATGGTTAGGAAGTCTTCCCAACTTACAAGTTCTGGTCCTAAGGCATAACAACTTCCATGGGAGGATTTCAAGCCCATTTGCCCAATTATGATTTCCATAATTTGCGTATAATTGATCTATCTAATAATTTTCACATCGGTGATTTACCATCAAGATATGTTCAGAGTTGGCTTGCAATGGAAACTTCAACAGAATCCATGTCTAGTGCATACAACTCTAATTTTAGAATAGGTGTTGTTTTACCCGAAGGCATCAATATTGTTGAAGAGAAATACGATTATAGTATCACCATAACAAATAAGGGGAGCGAAACACAATATACAAGGATATTGACTGTATTGCGAGTAGTTGATTTTTCGAGCAACAAGTTCACTGGTACAATCCCTAAAATCATTGGGAATCTTAAAGGACTTCAAGCGCTTAATTTGTCCAACAACAATCTTGTTGGTGGAATCCCATCTTCTTTGGCCAACATCACAGACCTTGAGTCCTTAGACCTTTCTCAAAACATGCTTTCAGGAGTGATTCCTCAAGAGTTGTCAAGGCTAACCTTTCTTGGGGTATTTAATGTTTCTCACAATCATCTTGTTGGACCAATTCCTAGTGGAGAACAATTCAATACTTTTGACAACAACTCATATACTGGAAACTTGGCATTATGCAGGGCTCCATTGTCTGAGAAATGTGAGAAAGACTCCACGCCATCATTACCACCACAACAGTTAACAAATGATGAGGCGATTGAAGAGGATACTGAGCTGATTGATTGGATCATCAGATCATTAGGGTGTATAAGTGGGATGATAATAGGTTATGTCATTGGCAAAATCTACGTAGTTGATCGTCATCATAATTGGTTTATGGAGACTTTAGGGTGCATAAGAGGGAGATCAAAGACGAGTGAAGAGATCACCACCACTAAGGCTCAGGAGAAACTAAAGAATCTGCACTTGTAACACTGTTATCTCTCACACAGTGTTATCTTATTAATGTATCTCAAATATTTTAGGAAAGTTTGCCAGAAATCACCTTATATTGTTTGGTAGTTTACCAATGCCAAACTTGTTGCTGTCTCACAGTGATGCTGTTGCTTCTGCATTTTTTTTCCTATCGGTAGTTTGGTACCATTTCAAAATCACCCCTGTTTGGCCCTTTGTGCATTGAACTCGTGGAGTGTATTTATCACTAGCAGGAATAAAATTCTTAAACCAAGAAACTTGGAAGTGGGATAAATTTCTGTTGAAACGTGGATTTTCTGGGGATATTTGCGCGTTGGAGACAATGCCTGCAGGCAAACGTTAAGCAAGATTGTTAGATTAGACACTCTTCATCTAAAAAACAGAAGTTAGCTAGAACTTAAAGTAGAAGATAGCCAAATCGATGGGGGTGGGGGTATGGGGGAGCTACTTATGCTAATGTTGTACATCATGGAGTTGAAAAGAACAGCAACAGTGTAGAAACCAGGTTAATGATAACTACAACAACAATAGAACCCATCCGGAAACGATATCCAAGACGATGTTGCAATGAGAAAAGGGGCTTGAATATTTAAAATTACATTTCTAAGGCCGCGATAAGATATAGACTGTATCTTATTCACTAGGTTACTGCCAGTACAGTAAAAATCACTGAAATCTGGTCATTATCATTCTCCATGAAGCTGTCTTCCCCTTCAATCAACATTTCCCTACATAGAATGACCAATATTCTGCATTAATATCTCTTTTTTCATCTAACGAGGTATAAATACCCATCAATCCCATAACAGTATGACAGTGATGCAGTTCTGAATTTTGACACTATATAATGGTCATGATATCATGTTACTCTCCCATATCTTTTGCTACTACACCACAAATTCATAGATTGTGTTACAATATGTCATCAAATCTATAGTTTGTTGAAAAGGGATGAATCATTACCTAGGCTTCTTTGGAGACTATTTTAATGTTAAATGGCCAATCAACAGTGACAATGCAGAAGACTAACCTACTGACAAAGTTCAGCAGCAATCTTACGCAATATGCAGTGTTTTCAGTTTCACTAGTTCATTGAAAATTGGTTAACTCAATTAACCTGCAAGAAAGAAGGGATATCTACCATTTCAAGAGAATATATTACTAGGACAGCAGAAGTATTCTCTAATTAAGTAGCAAGCCAGGAGTAATTTCATATATCTCAGAGGAATAAAATCATATTGGAAGATGCTCTTGAATAATGTAAGTATAATAAAAGTGACAGGACAATGGCAGTATAATGTACAGCTTCCCTAACTCTGGCATCCAAATCTATTGTTGCCACGAATCAGTAGAAAAGTTCTCCATCAATCATGGAAAGGTAAAGGCTACAATTAAACTAGGAGTAAGCTCCTGAAAAAAATTAAAAATGATAAGCAACAATGTTGTTTGGTTACGAGCGGTGCTAATCCTCTGACAACATTAAATCTCATTGAGTAAGGATCTAGAAGACGGTCAGTGCATATGATTGTTACCACTCGAGGTATATACTGCAAGCAGAATATTGGATGAAGCACTTGTCATATAGACTCAAGAACATTAAAATAAGTCTAGCAAGGAGCAGATGACTTACTTCAAAGCGTGGGAAATGGATATCGACTCAAAGCTTTTGAAATAGGTTCAGCAGCAAGCATGCTGGCTGACTTGAACTACTCTTGCACATCTCTACTCAGTAGTTATCCTTATTTAGGCCCTGTTCACTTCACCTTAAAAAAATAATATTCAGTAAAAATAATTTCAGTTCAGTAAAAATAATTTCAGTTCAGCAAAAATAAGTTCAGTTCAATATAAATAAGTTCAGTTCAGTAAAAATAATTTCAGTTCAGTAAAAATCAGTAACTTTTAAAGAAGAAATATAACAGAAAATCAATAAAAATAATTTCAGTTCAGCAAAAATAAGGTGAAGTGAACAGAGCCTTAAGGGTTAGTTTCATAATATGCTAAAATATGGATCAACAAGTCTCACTTGCCTTTTCCATCAATAGCTAGCGCCTGAAGTGGTTTTAATCAGCAACATTATTGTATGCACATTTGAACTTTTTCAAGATTGACCAGAGGGATCGAGTAAGGGATGCTTGAAGGTTATAAACGCCTCAGGTGTCCAAGACATATCTACTCTGTCTTGAGAAAACCTTTTTCACTCTTTAAAGTCCGGCTTGTTGTATGTGGGTAGTGGACCTTTAATCTAGGAGGTGCGCATTGTTTATGCTAAATTTCGTCAAGTGGGATTGAATAACAAAATCTTGGTTACGAATTAACTAGATAAAACTTTAAACGAAAGCAATAGGAAAATAAAAAAACGACACGAGGAATTGGTGACGTGGAAAACCCAAGGAAGGTAAAAACCGCGGGTAGAATGAGGATCTACCAAACTTTCACTCTGTAAAATATCGAACGAAAAGAGGATTACAGGATATGATCAATGTATTGTAATAGCTAGGTTATCCTGTGTCCATTGTCGTTGGTATCCTCCCTTTATATAGATGATTTTTTGGGTTGAAAGTAGCCGTTGCAAGGTGATAGGATGAACTCCTCATTTTCCGGCAACTACCACTTGATTCATGGTGTTGAGCTTATCCCCATAATGGGTTGATTCTGCTGGAGGGTAGACTTAGTTTTGGCGCTTATCACTTCCTAGAGAATAGGGAGGTTGTTATCCCTGCTCCGTCCGTCGAGTCTTGTACTGTAATCATTGATTCTTACTCTTCGTCGCTGACCCCTGTTGACTAGCATTGACTTTGACTCACTAAAATTTACCCATAACAATTTGCCCCTAACTGCTTAATATGGGCAGCTATGTACATGTTCAGCAATTACAACTATAAAAACAAGAAAACATAAATCAAAAATTTAAAATTGATGGACTTAAAAAACTGATTACTTAAGGGCATAAGTGTCCTTCCACCTGGTGCACTAACTCGAGAAGTTGCTTCAACTTCCCACTTCTCTAATTTAACCGTCATTTCAAGCCTTTATTACTGCGCGCTGCACATTTTCCTGCTTCACCAAATTTACTGCACTCTTTCTCTCTCTTCTTTCTCTTTCTTTTCAGCAATTACAACTAAAGCGGCGAGTGGCAGTGATTCTTCGATTCAAGCTTTCAACAACTTCAATTGATAGGTAATTACTTCGATTTTCTGTTTAGTTAGTTATTTTGGGCGAATGTCGAGTAGTATTCCTAAAGTTAGATCTAGGTTTTCACTTCGCATTGTTGAAAAGAGAGGAACGGTTGTTTCACAGAGGAAAGCGATGACTAGGGCGGAATCGCTGATGGCGCTTGACATGATGGAGGGCTTTATAATGATGGTAGGGTTTCTTGAGACTGCCTTTGCCCACGTTCCGGGCAAAGGCAAGAAAGTAGAGAATTGCCCCAAGGGTTTCGTCGTATTCTTCAAGTACCCGTTCTTGGAGACAGGGGCTAAATTTCCATTTAAGCCCTTAACTAAATCTTTTTTCGAGGTGCTGGGGTTGAGCCCTAGGCAATTGATGCCGTCTGGCTCGAGGATTTTGTCGGTGTTGGAGGAGGTTACCAAAAATTGGGATGATCCTTTTACTTTGGAGGATTTAACTGAGGCGTATGAGATAAGGATGAGGAAGGATGGTTTTGTAAGTTTGCATAAGAAGGGGGAACAGTTGGTTTTGAATACCGACTGTAATGACAGGGGTTAGGTTAGTTGGTTTGTTTCGTCAAAAAGATATCACTGGTTCCGGAGGAAATTGGTTGACGGAGGGATGGCCAACGAAGGGTAAGTATCTTTTTCTCGTATTTGATTTCTTGGACTAAGGTTTTCTAAATGTTTGATCTTGGTTCTGACTATGCAGGCCTGAATTTCGACTTTCTCGAGCCGACGGAGGCGTCAGCGTTGCAGGTAAAGCGGATTCTTGAGGTGAAACACATGGAAAGAACTTTCGAAAGGACGAGGTACATTCTTGGTGAATTGTCGGGCTAAAAGCAAAAAGGATTACCAAGTACCTCGATGTCTACTCGTAAGTTGTTCGCTACTTTGTTCATTTTCGATCTGTCAATGTCGTTGTACGTTGTTTATGTGTTTGTTTTCGTTAGAATCTGCAGCACAAGGTAGTCGTCTAGGACGAAGCCTATCTCAGGCGGAGCAAAATGCACGGATGAGGAGGAAACGGGAGTTGCCACCTCAAGAGGCGTCGCCATTGTCGGTGGTAGACAGGACGGAGCAGCTGAATGCTTCGTCGCGACAGAAGGTTAGCGATGTAGCCACACTGGTTTATGCGTCGTCGTCCCCTCCTCATAAACAGCAAAAGATGGACGACACTCCAGCACTTCCAGGCGCATTTTCCTGCTGGCTACCTTAGTCTTAGTAAGGATACTCGTCGGTCTTTGTTTCCGCAGTTGAATCAACTGTTGTTCCCCGGTTCTCGAGAAGGGTTGGCTGGGACTTCGATCTTGGATATTGCGTCGGAGGCTGCTTCCGTTCATCTCTACGTAAGTTTCTTTCCTTTGTTTATTTGGTCGGTGATGTGTATTTGGTTTGTAATTTGGGATTTGACGGATTGGCAGTGTTTGCAGAATTCCTTGGCTTTAAGGGAAAGGGTGATCGGGTTGGCTAAGGAGATGAAGAGGTTGGATGATGTTGCTAAAAACAGTGAGGCTAAGAATAGGACTGCGACGAGACAATTTCAAACTGTGAAAAAGAAGTTCGACGAAGCAGTCAAGAAGGTGGACGAACTGGAAAGTCGTCTAGAGGCTCAGGCCAAGAAGATGGACGAGCAGTCAAAGAAGGTGGAGGAGCAAACCCAACAGCTATAGGACCAAGCCAAGCAACTGAAGTAGCAAGCCCAGTAACTGGAAGACAAAGGTGTAATCATACGGGACAGAGGTGAAGCTTTGTCGAAGGTGCAGGATGAGTTGTTGATAGTCGAAAAGGAGCTGGATGACGCTCTAAATAAGGGTGCAGAGTTGGAGATCAAACTTAGGGCTCGATTGATGAAGGAGTACCTGGACGAGAAGGCTTCGGAATGGCGACCTCAGGAGGACATTAATCGCTTTTTGACTAATGGAGGGACTCTTGCTGAGCTAGGGGAAGATGCTGCGGTAGTTTCGACTGCAGATTCGGGACCTCATCCGTCAAACGTTGTTCCTCCATCCATTGACGATGCTAAAGCGCAACCATCAGTTGGTGAAGGCGTTGGAGACAATGCTCATGTCGACGAAATCATAAAGATGTCGTCGAGGAGCTGAACACTGATGACAATGCTGCTGGAGGTGCTGATATTTGAAGGCCATCGCTTGTGATGGTTTCACTTCCTTTTGTTATGTACTTCTGTTTCTGTTTCGTACTTTGACGTTTTTACTTTTTGTTTGGATATTTTCCTGTTGTTGCTTTTGAATTCCCTTGTTTTAGATTTCGTTGCTTTATGTTTCACTTGGTGGCAAGTGGTTCTTTTGAACACTGTCGTGATGTCGTCATAACTTTTGTTATGGTATTTTTCCTTTGTTTCGTCTGTTGTCTTTTTCTTTTGATCTGCGTATAGCAAGCAATGTAAGGTAAAAACTTTTTTTATTTTTTTTTACTTTTTTTTATAGGTTAGGGAAAAACAGTTAAGTTAAAACCAAAGCAAAAAGGATTTTTAGTTGGGTGAAAGGAGTTAAGCGAATATTAAAATACGGAAAAGAGTTATCATTTAGTAAAGTATTTACTGGGTTGTTTGAAATAAATTAGACCATGTAATAAACAAAAGATGTAAAACTTGATAAAAAAAAAACATTTTTTATTTGCTGACTTGTCAATGTACAATGTATTCGTCGAAGACTATGTATACTCGAGTTTAGGCCTTCGCTGTTTGCCAATGCCCCTTGCGTCCCAGCGTCGACGCTGAACACTGAAGACTAAGTTCGTAGTTCAGGTGTCGGGTGTTTGGCGTCACACGTTAAGGTCAGATTTGCCCAGGCTTCATCTTGTTTCAATGTTTTCATTTGAACGGCGGCTTTCCTCATCCTTTTGAAGGATGTCACTGTAGCCGACGTCGATTGCCTTTGTATCGTTTTGTTGTGATTTTGGGTCGTGACCTGAGTTATTTGTTTCGTCGCCGTATGTTTTGTCGATCGATGTTCTGCAAAACCAACATGGTTAGAGTACCATTGGCCGTTGGCCGATGCTTAAGTCAGAATACGTAGTAAAAATAAGTAGTCAAATGTAAATAAATCAAATGTAAGATCGGGGATGTTACCTTATCGTCGACGAATACTCTTTTGACACTTTAGAAGTAGTAATTTCTGAGATGAGTTGCGTTCCAACTTCTTGGAACGGGTTTACCTTGCTAGTCGCACAGTTGATAGGCGCCGTTGCCGATGACTTGGGTGATCTCGTATGGGCCTTCCCATGGGGGGGCTAGCTTGCCGTCGGCAGGATCTTTTGTGTTATGGAACGCTTTTCTTAGTACCCAGTCACCTAGATGGAACGTTTTTGCCTTGACATTTTTGTTAAGGCTTCTTGCAACTATTTGCTGCTGCGCTGCCATTCTGATTAAGGCTGTTTCTCGTAGTTCTTCGACTGCGTCCAAGTTGTCCTCCATTCCTTTTTGGTTCATGTCTACCGTCATCAAGCCGAATTGAGACGTCGAAAGGTCGACTTCTAATGGGAGGACGGCTTCGCAGCCATAGACAAGGGAGAAAGGAGTCTGTCTCGTCACAGACCTTGGCGTCGTTCGGTTGGCCCATAGAACGGCTGTGAACTCATCGGCCCGTCTGCCTTTTGCTGCTTTTAACCTCTTTTTGATGGCGTTCATGACGACTTTATTGCTGGATTCTGCTTGTCCATTAGCTCGAGGATATCTTAGTGTTGATGTCTTTAGTTCTATTCTGAATTTCCTGCTAAATGAACGAGTTTTGTCGCTAATAAACTGCGACCCGCTGTCACAGACTATCACTAACGGAATGTCAAACCTGCAGATAATGTTAGTCCATAAGAACGAAATGACTTCTTTGTCTGTCACCTGCTTCAAGGCAATTGCCTTGATCCATTTAAAGAAATAATCTGTTAGTGCTAGCATGTAGACTCTTTGTCCTGGTGCAGCAGGTAGCTTTCCGACGATGTCCATTCCCCATCTCATGAAAGGCCATGGAGACAAGGTTTGATGCAAAGATTCCGAGGGTTTGTGGACTGTATTGGCGAATCGTTGGCAGCTATCACACTTGGCGACGTAGTGGACGGCGTCTTCATGGAGTGTTGACCAAAAGTACCCTCGTCTTTTTGCCAGTGTGGCTACTCCTCTGCCCCCGACGTGACTGCTGCATATGCCGTCGTGCAAGTGGCTGAGGATAGACTATTGCTCATGACTTCGAATACATCTTTGCGATAATCCCGACGTTGATTTATGGAACAAGACTCCGTTAGTGACATGGTATCTGAAGGCTTTGTATCTCAGTTCTCGGGCTTCTGTTTTGTCGTCGGGAAGGGTGTTGTTGGTGAGGTAATGTATAAGTGGCTTGGTCCAGTCGTTGTCGTCGTCGACGTCGTTGACGGGGAGGATTGCTTTTGTGGATACGGAAGGTTTTTGTAGGTGGACTAGGGGTATCGACGTAAAGGTGGTCTTTTTTAGTGCAGAGGCTAAGTTTGCAAGTGCGTCGGCTTATGAGTTTTGGTCTCTCGGAATATGTTGGATTGCGAAAGGGTTTGGCTTTCTCTTTGGCTACTTCGAGGTAGGCTGTCATTTTGGAGTCTTTTGTTGTAAAGTCTCTTGTCATGTGGCTGACGATGAGGAGGGAGTCACTGTATACATCTAGAGCTGTTGCCCCTAAGTCTTTGACGACCATCATTCCTGCAATTAGTGCTTCATATTCTGCTTCATTATTTGTTGCCTTGAAATCACAAGATATAGATCGCACTATCATGTCCCCTTGTGGCGACTTTAGCACCATTCCCAGCCAGCTCCTCGTTGATTGGGCGATCCGTCGACGAACAAAATCCATTTGCTTTCTTTGTCGACGCTGTTTATTTCTTCCACTTCTTTGTCAGCTATGGCCTGTAGGTCGGGACAGAAGTCAGCCACAAAATCAGTCATGACTTAATTGCTCTCCGGGGTTGAAACTCAATGTCGAGTGTAATTAATGAAATGCTCCATTTGCCCATACGTCCTTTCAACTCCGGTTTTCTCAAAACAGACTTGCTAAGGTAATTAGTCATCACCACTACGTGGTGGGTGGGTTTCAAAATAACGCCTTAGCTTTTTAACAGCGGTAATCAAAGCAAGAACGAGTTTTTCAAGAGATGAATACCTTACCTCGGCTGGGAGTAGGGTTTTACTTACATAACAAACTAGTAACTGCCAGCGTCGTCGTCTTCTCTCAGAACTGACGGCGACGATACTGACGACAATGTACAATTGCAAAGGCTCGTTAGCTTTTGGTTTCGACAGGAGGGGTAGCGTCATTGAATATTTTTTCAAGTCCTGTAATGCTTTCTCATGATCGTCGGTCCATTCAAAGCCTTTATTTTTTCGTAAGATGTTATAAAAAAGATGGCATTTGTCCGACAATTGAGAAATAAAGCGGTTTAACGCTGCCACTCGTCCTGTCAATTCCTGGGTTTCCTTAACGTTTCAGGGGGATTGAATGTTTATTAAGGCCCTGACTTGGTCGGGACTAGCTTCAATACCCCTTTGCGTTACGACATAACCAAGAAATTTTCCAAATACTCCAAAAGAACATTTAGTAGGGTTAAGTTTCATACCATACTTTCGCAAAACCTCAAACGTTTGACGAAGGTGGTCGACGTGGTCCTCTAACTTTTTGGATTTTACTAGCAAATCATCGATATACACCTCCATCATGTCACCTAACTGGTCTTTGAACATTTTGTTGACGAGTCTCTGGTACGTTGAACCTACATTTTTTAGTCCAAAAGGCATAATTTTATAACAATATACACCTCTATTTGTCTTGAAGGTCGTTTTTTCCTAATCGTCGGGATGCATGAGAATTTGATTGTATCCAGGCGTTCATGAACGTCAAGAGCTCGTGACCTGCTGTTGCATCTACCATGGCGTCGATGTGCGGCAACGGAAATGGATCTTTGGGGCATGCTTTATTGAGATCAATGAAGTCGATGCATACTCTCCATTTGCCATTCTTCTTGCTTACGACGATTTGCAAGCCAATCCGAATATTTCACTTCTCTTATTTTCCCTGTATCGATCAACTGCTGCACTTCATCATTGATGATCTTGTTTCGTTCTGGGGCGAACTTTTGACGCTTCTGCTTCACGGGCTTGTGATTTGGATCGACATTTAACTTGTGCGAGATGACGCTTGGATATATTCCCGTCATATCTTCATGCGACCAGGCGAAACAGTTTTTATTCTCTCGAAGAAAGGTTAGGATGGCGTTTTTGAGTTCAGGTGCCAACACGGACGGTTTGATTTGGTTTTTCAGGGTCCAGAGGTATTTCGTGGATTTCTAGGTCGTTGGGATTGTCTGGTGTTGGGCCTTGCTGTAATTGCTAGGTGGATTTCATTCATGGTTTCAAGGTTGTTTTGTAGCAGTTTTTGGCTTCACGGGGTTCTCCTTTAATCTCTTAGATTCCCCAGGGAGATGGAAATTTGAGAGTTTGATGGTAGATGGAAAGGATGACTTTTAGTTTATGGATCCATGGTCTACCCATGATGGCATTATAGGCTCAAGGACAGTCTACAACGTTGAATTTGGTTTGGGGGTTTAAGCCGCCAGCGTAGGTAGGTAAGGTTATGTCTCCGAGTTGACATCGTCTCGCCACTGAAACCGACCAACACTATTGACCTTCTGACGACGTCACTATCTTTCATCCCCATTTCTTCCATGGTTTTCCGGAACAGGACATTTGCGGAGCTTCCCCCATCGACTAACTCCCTTTTAAGCAGACAATTCCCAACCATCAATGATATGACCAGGAAGTCTTCATGTTCTTTGCTGATGTTGTTGATGTCATCGTCGTCGAAAGTGATGGCCATTGCTTTGAGCTTTTTCTCTAAAGGGTCTCTTGCTTCTTCTGAATGGCAGGGTCGTTTGACGACGTCCTTGCAATTCTTTTAGCTACAGAATAGGTTAATCCACAAATATCTAAACCACCAGAAATAACATTAATTACTACCGTAGGCGCAGGTGGCTTAGGTAGCCTGCTTATTGAATCGGCTTTGGCGTCACTGGTCGCACTGCCTTTCTTCTTGCCCAATAGGTGCTTGAGGTTGGCTCTCTTTAGCTGGAAGTCCACTTCTCTTCGCAATGCATATCAGTCGTCCGTCTTGTGCCCATGATCGTTGTGGAGCTCGCACCATTTGCTCATATCTTTCTCTAAATCGGGGTTTCAGCATCCATTTCGTTGCCACTAGTCTCTGTATCTGTATCATGCGGGGAGTCCAACACTTCTAACAGACGCATACGCGGTATGATACCCAGCCGCCTTGGGTGTCGACGACGGTTGCTCTGGGCGGACTCTAGTTGCTGTCAGAGGGTAGCTGCATCGAACGCTGCTGCTTCTTCTCTTTGCTGAGACGCTCATTGGACTCTTGGGCTGCCAGGAGATCGGCCTTGGTGTTCTCATAGGCCTTTCTCATCTGCTCGAGGGTCATATCATTAGAAGCCATTTTTGAAGTTGGGTTAGGGTATTGGGGTTTTACCTAGTTGTGTCCCCACAGACGGCGCCAAATTGTTTATGCTAAATTTCGTCAAGTGGGATTGAATAACAAAATCTAGGTTACGAATCAACTAGATAAAACTTTAAACGAAAGTAATAGGAAAATAAAGAAACGACACGAGGAATTGGTGACGCGGAAAACCCAAGGAAGGTAAAAACCGCGGGTAGAATGAGGATCTACCAAACTTTCACTCTGTAAAATATTGAACGAAAAGAGGATAACAGGATATGATCAATGTATTTTAATAGCTAGGTTGTCCTGTGTCCATTGTCGTTGGTATCCTCCCTTTATATAGATGATTTTTTGGGTTGAAAGTAGCCGTTGCAAGGTGATAGGATGAGCTCCTTATTTTCCGGCAACTACCTCTTGATTAACGGTGTTGAGCTTATCCCCATAACGGGTTGATTCTGCTGGAGGGTAGACTTAGTCTTGGCGCTTATCACTTCCTAGAATAGGGAGGTTGTTATCCCTGCTTCATCCGTCGAGTCTTGTGCTTTAATCATTGATTCTTACTCTTTGTCGCTGACCCCTGCTGACTTGCTTGACTTTGACTCACTAAAATTTACCCATAACACGCATCAAATTAGAAGATACCAAACCAAAAAAAAAAAAAAAAAAAAACGAGCTTAAAACACCTATATAATTTGCTAAACAACAAATCTCAAATCATGAAGAAAGATCATGCCTGCAATGTCTTACAATGATCATTGTCCCAGTGACCTTTTTCATGTTTCTTAGAAGCATTAATGCATACATTAAGATTTAAAATTCTATTTAAATGTTAGACTACTCTTTACTTGTAAGGAATCCAATAACAAGCCTTAGAATATACTATAAAGGAGTATAAACAACAGTAACTACATAAGCAAATCTGCAGGATTCAGGAGAGGAGGTCAAAATGTATGCAATCTTACCTTTAACAATGCAGGACTTAGCAGAGAAACCTTTTTGATAAATCCTCATTATGGATAGGTAATAGCACATCCCACATCCCACATTCAACTTTTATCAGACTGATAATCATTTTTGTGCAATCTTTATACCAAACAGTAGGTTTTCAGTGATATATTAAATGGGAGGATGGGATATGTTTCCAGATAGAACATCAGGATGCCTGCCATGCTGATTTAGCCAGCTCGATCCTTCTTGTTTTGCAATTTTTCTTCTTTTCATCTGTGATCTTACTCTTGAGACGTCATTCCATCTTCCAGCTGAAGCATAAAGATTTGATAATAAAGTGTAAGCTGCACTGCAATGTGGGTCTAGATCAAGTATGTACTTTGACACTCTTTCAGCTATTTCAATATCAGAGTGTGTTCTACATGCGTTAAGTAGATTTAACAGAACCAGAGAATTTGGTATAATTGGCATATTCTTGATAAAGTCTTCTGCTTTATCTAGTTCACCAGATCGGCACATGATATCCACCATGCAAGCATAATGCTGAACATTCATTTTTATCAAAGTATACTTGGTGAAAAACTGGAAAAACCGCTTCCCTTTCAGGAACACTCCAGAATGACTAGCAGCATTCAGCAATCCAGTAAAAGTGATTTCATCAGGTTCAACCCCTGCACGCAGAATCTGTGCAAACAATGTAAACACCCAATTAGCACACCCATGCTGCGCACTCCCAACAATGATCGAGTTCCAGGATACAAGATTTTTTACTTCTATTCCTTCAAATGCTTTTATTCCATCTAGAATGCCCCCACATTTAGAATACAATGTAACAAGTGAATTCCCCACAAATGCAGAAGCCTCAAATCCCAGCTTAATAGCTTCTGCGTGAACAACTTGTCCTCTATCAAGAGACATGAGTGCACAGCAAGAATTCAACGCACTAGTGAAAGAAGACTCGTTAGGTAAAATCCCCAACTTGATCATGTCAGTAAATACTGTCAATGAATCGTTATGCATTGAATTCAAATTATATCCCGTTAAGAGCGAAGTCCACACAACCACACTATCATGCACATATTCCCTAAAGATCTTGTTAGAATTTTCTGGTTGCTTGTAATTCGCGTAAAAGGTTATAAAAGAAGAGGTTATATACTCTTCATCCACGCACCCCAGCTTCACAATGCGCGCATGAATCTGTGTACCAAGCTCAATAGCCCTTGAATTGGCACAAGCTGTTATCAGACAAGGAAATATACTTGCTGATGCTGAGGGCTCGATCCCATCACCGACCATACGCTTAAATACTCTCAAGGCGTCAACACTTCTCCCAATTTGATCAAGCCCACTAATCATCGAAGTCCATGAAATAACATTCCTACAAGGCATCTCTTCAAACACCTTAACAGCCTCACTAACTCTACCATTGCTAAAATAACCATAAACCATAGAATTCCAAACAGCAACATCCTTAAAAGGCATTTCTTTGAACAATCTTTCAGCCAACTCTACATACCCAAATCGCATATATCCACTAATCATCGTCGTCCAAGAAATAACATTTCTCTCAGGCATTTCATCGAATAGCTTCCGAGCAATGCTCAAATTACCACAATCTAAACACCCTTTAACAATTGAATTCCAAGCAATGGTATCTCTAACAGGCATTTGATCAAACAGGTGGAGTGCATCATTTAGCCTACCACATTTAGAATGACTAGTGATCATCTTTGTACACATAGTTACATTCGAATATGAAATCGTCCCGAAAAACCGAGGAACCCTGTGTAATCTTTGGTATGTTCTGTGATCAGGAATAATCCAGCAGAAAGTATTCGTCTTAGATAGCCAAAAACTCATCTTCCCCAAGAAAACCCAAGTTTTTATCTGACCCATAACAGAGATGTACATGAATTTGATTTTATGCTCAAATTGGGATTAAGTACATGAATTTGAATTTATGCACAATTTGGTGGGAAAATGTTTGCATAATTTGATTGAGGTGATTTGCTAAGCAGGAGTATGAACTAAGGGAGTGTTTAGTGGTAGGGTGCTCGCGGTTCGGTTTAATTTGGTGCACTTTGGAAAGTAATTAAAACTAACCCATGAAATTCCGGTTTGACTTTTTTCAAACCTAAAACTAAACCACAACATATGTAACACTTTTTATATATGCCCGCGTGCAGGTAGGTGCATCTAGGGGTGAAAGTATATGGATTTAAACCGAAAATCGAATCAAATCAAATCAAACACTTCGGTTTGGATTCTTTTTAATTTGGATTAGTTTGAATTGAATTTTTTTTTAAAATATAGATTACGGTTTGGATTCGGTTTTGGGTTTTAAAAAACCAAACCAAATAAGAAATTGAATTTGGGCCCATAATACTTATATGGCTTATGCTACTAATGCTGTTAATTGTAATTTGCAAATTTATTGAATATTTGCACATTTGTTTCATTGTTTGACTACTGTACTTTAATTATTGAATTATTTTGCTAAGCTTTTGTTTATTGCAATAAGTAATATATGTTCATGCCCAAAAATTAGACCCAAAAACACATGCCCAAAAATTTCGGTTCGGTTTGGATTCATTTTTGAAAAACCGAATTAATACCGGATTGGATTGGATTAGACTAAATCCAAATTCGGTTTCAAAAATCCAAAATCGAATTAATTCGGTTTGGATTCGATTTGGCCTATAATCCAAACCGCAATCCGAACTTTCGCTCCTAGGTGCATCGAATAGAGGAAGTAGTAGTGGAGGTCAACAATTATTTTAAAATAGTGAAGGTGAAGAGAAAGATAGGAATAGAGGAAGTAGTAGTGGAGGTCAACAATTATTTTTAGACGTGTAAAAGGGACAAAAAAAAAAAATGGAGACCACTATCATTGAGAGTGTACTTTAGTACTGGAGTATTTTATATCTTTAAAATTCTAGTAGAGTTTTTTTAAAGTATCGCTGAAAGTGTATTTTGTACCACTAAGAATGATTTTGTACTAATGAAACTCAAGTGGTATTATTTGACAGACAAATCAGATGTCTTTAAAAGTGTAGCGAAATAACTTTTTTACTCAAGTGAGGCATACCAAAAGCTACTCACGGTAAGCCGTTTGAAACGCCTCCAACCAATGTTTTTTTTCTTTCTTTCTTTCTTTCTTTCTTTCTTTCTTTTTCGTCTAATATAAATTTTTTTCTCATTAATTGGAGCAAAAATTATTAATTGAGTTGAAAATACCCTTGGGTGCAACTTGCTCTTTGGTGTATATAATTTTTTTTTTACCTCACATGCCAAACCCAAACTAAACAACATGATAGCTCAAGTGGTTAGAGCTCCCTCCCGGTTTCAGGTGATCTTGGACTCGATTCTTATAACCCGTCCTTGTGGCTCTCTAAACACCACAAAAAAAAAAAAAAAAAAAAGCATTATATTGCAATTTGATATCGTTTTTGTAAACACCCTTTGCATCCTAAAATGTTGTTTCCATATTTTTTTTTCTTTCTTTATTTAGTCTACTTAAAATGACTGGAACACCCCCACTATTTAAAATTCTCACAAATTACCCTTACCTTTTTCCTTGTTTTTGCCCTCGATAAATATTTTTTAAAAAGAAACAAAAGCTAGCGTTAATTACGGGATAAATTATCCATGAGTACATATGGAGCAATATCGTGGGGGCAATGATTTTCCCAAACTTGCTCGACTCCAAAAAGAACTAGCTTGGCAAGATGATGAGCTACATAATTACCGTTTCTCATAACATGGGACCAAACGACAGAATCAAAATGAGTACATAACGAAAAAATATCTCCTAGAAGTGTATCCAGATCATTAAAGTATATCGAGCCTTTCGAAAGACGACTAATGAGCAATTGACAATTCGACTCTAAGATCACATTCTCCAAGCCATACCTGTTACCTAGACGCAAAGCCAAGGCAATTGCCTGAGCTTCAGCCACCTCAGGGGGCCAATAAGCCTTAACTCTCCTAGTTGCTGCAAACAAAACCAAGCCATTGTGATCTCGAGCAACTGCACCAAGTCCAATCCAACCATCATCTCGCAACGAAGCATCAGCATTAATCTTAATGCTGCCAGCAGGAGGGGTGCACCAGATTTTTGGGCTTCCTGCTGGGCGAGGCAGAGTGCTCTTGTATATTCGATGAGCATACTGCCCATATTCATCCACAAGACGATGCACACGACTAATCAAGACATTACTTGGAGTAGAACGATCCTCTAAGACTTTCAGATTACGTTCACCCCAAATGCACCAAGCTAAAATCATACTTCGTTGTCGTGTCATTTATCCACTGACCTCCAGCTAGACACAAGGTCTCGCATTGACCCTGGTGCTTCCCAGTTCACCATAGCAGTGCAGCAGCTTTCCTGCCATAGATCTTGCACCCAACTACAGCTAACTATAGCATGCCCCGTTGTTTCCTCATCAGACCCGCACCATGGGCAAGTTGCAGCTTCAATTAAATGTCATCTCTTCAGCAGCGAGCGAGTAGGGAGTGCTTCAGTGCATAAGCGCCAGAAAAAGTGCCTAACTTTCGGACTCACATCCATCCCCCAAATCTCCACCCATGCTTGATGAAAGCTATCCAAATTGCACCCCTTACCCAAAAGATAGGAAATCTTGATAGAGTAGTTTCCATCCTTTGAGAAGGCCCAGGTGAGCTCATCTCTTTACCCCCATGAACTGATGCATTTAAAAAAAAAAAAAAAACATGACAACTGATGCATTTAAAATAAATTAAAAAACAAAAGAAGTATTTGTTAAATTCGAATATCCTTTGTACTTCGTAGATGTTATATAAATTTTTGCTAATGAATTGTATTATAAAATAGACGAGAATTGATTGATTTAAGTAACATGTTTGTTATGTGCGGAACATAAACAAGAATATATAAAACGTAAATTTGAAAAATAAATTAGGAAATAGATGAGATAAACACACATATATACGTGGTTCGGTCAAATTAGATCTACGTCGACAGGGTAAGAGATTGTATTTTCTTATTAAATTTCATGGAAGATACATAAGAGATTACAAGGGAGATACAACACACTCCATCTCACAAATCTCTTAAGTGGAGTTACATATAAGGTTGAATTGGCTAGGCTTATTAATATGAATACTTAATAATTGTCCACCTAATGGTTCCTTATACTTCCTCCGATCTATTCCCCTAATATTGCAACATGGGTGGGGATACAAATTTTAGGAAGAGAAGAGAGATAGAGAAGAATAAAGATAGAGACTTATGTGATGTGGAGAGAGAAAGAGAGAGAGAAAAAAAAGTGCAAATAGAGAAATTTTTATAATATTTGTAAAACTTTCTAAAAATGGTAATTGTTGCAATATTTGTGGAACAGAGGAAATATAACGTAAGAAACCCTAAATTATTCCCCAAGGAATAGCATTAGTAGCCGTCATAGGCATACCCCATATATAGGAAACAAAACACGCCTTGGATGATCCTCAATGAAGCACGGACGTGCTACTTTATGACACGGACGTGCTGCTGGGCGCGTGTCAAGAAATTCCCACTTCGACAGTCTTTAGTAAAATGAACATAATTTTCTCGTTTTTTATCGTAATTATGCATATGACCTATCGTTGAAAAACTCTTGAAACAAACTATCACCTCCAACTTGAATAACCTCAAGATCACCTTTGAATTGAGAGATATATGCGTTTGAAGTCAGTCCTTCGATATTGCACTAGATTTCAAGTCACAATTAACAAATTAGTTTTACTATTTATTAAAAAAAAAAAAAAAAATTAAAAATCCAACCTTTGCACTTTCTTCCCTTAAAAATCCAACATTTTGATTATCCCACAAAATTCAACTTTTACCCCCTATCTTCACCAACAGATCCATTACTTGTTAGTGACCACTTTTTGTAAGTTATATGCCACGTGTTAGCATTTAATAGGTTTATTATTTTTTTAATTATTAAAAAAAAAATAGTTAAAAGAAAGGGAAAAAAAAAAAAAGCCCCCACCCCTAAAATTTAGTGAACTGTTAAACATCGCCCGCAAATTCCTACATAAAGCCCACAAAATAAGAGTGAAATGACACTTTTGCCCTCATACTAAAAAACACACAATTTCTCTCTCTACTCTCTACTTCCACTTTCTCTCTCTAAATTATTTCCAAAGCTATGTCGAGGCGGCCCGGCAAGGAAGTGGCGGCACCGGCGGTGGGCGGAAGGCGGTTTGCCGGCCAGAAGGTAAATTTTTTAATTTTTGTAATTTTTTTTTAAAAAAAAAACCTCCGGCGACGGTGGGGCGCCAAGGCGAGACGCCACCACCACGGCGGAGGCGCCTAGGCAAGGCGCCCGTACGGTGGTGGCGGCGCCTAGCCCAGACGCCACTACCATGGCGGCGGCGCAGAGGCTACGCGCCACGGCCGTGGTAATGGCGTCTGGGCTAGGCGCCGACACCACCGTACAGGCGCCTTGCCTAGGCGCCTCGTTCTTTTTTTTTTTTTTAAATTTTTTTTTTGTTTTTTTTTAATTTTAAATTTTATTTTCGATTTTTTTTTTTTTTTTTTATAAAATTTGTTTTTCTTTTTTTTAAATTGTATGTTCCCTTTTTTTTTTATCTTTTTTTTTTAAAATTTTGTTTTTTTATTTGTTTTAATTTTATATTTTTTATGTTTATAATTTTATTTCCGTGACTTGTTTATTTGCTTTTGTGTTTATTTTCGACTTTTTTTAATTTGTTTTCGTTATTATGTTTCGTTATTTACTTGGAGTTAGGCATCGCAATTTAGACCTGGTGCGGGGAAGAGTATTGACGTCGTGAGGAGTACGATCTACTCAATGGAGAGCTCGGGGCCCAGACACGTTAGATCCCGTGGTATTTCGGCCTCGGCCCGCAGAGAACGGGTGCACTGTTCTGCGGACGATCAAGATGATGATGATGATGATGAGGAGGAGGAGGAGGAGGTCGAGGAGGAGGAGGTCGAGGACGAGGATGATGCAGATGAGGATGTCGACGATCAGAGTGGACCATATGATGATTACGGTCCATTCAGTCAGAGACTTGATGATACGTATGAGACGCATAGGGTAGATGTGCGTAAGGGTCGAGATGGTAGGTTTGTTA